CCCATTCCGCTGGGTCAAACTCTAAGTTGTGGATTGCTGTGTCCGGTCTGAAGATTGATTTGGGCCATGAGCCGAGGACTCTTATCTTCCTGAGTAAGAAATAGTCCAAGACTACCGACTCAACGTCGCTGTTCAAGATAGTCGGCATTCTGGCGGCAGTCGTGGAGCAATGGAAGGAGAGGAAGGTGGCCTTGGTTTGTGAGTCTTGTTGCATGTGGGAGAATTGGAAGGCTCTCGAAGGGATTGTTTCTTGTATCTTGATTCCCCATTAAAATAAGATGGCACAATCTACTGGGCCAAGAGGCAGACAAAATCACACAAAGCCAATTAAAATCAGAAGCTTACAATGGCTAATTGTTTCCGTTTCTGATAGGCAATTAATCGCTTTTTTTTCCCGTTTATGTTTTGCAAAAGCAGTGAAGTGCTATTTTCGTGGGGTTTTGGGGGGCGGGTAGGGGGCTATGAGGGGGTGGAATAAGGCTGATTTTATGGGGTTTCATGGGGAGAGGGAAGGGAGTGGGGGATATGCGTTTCGGAGTGGACGCAGGACACGGCTGAGTTCGTGACTACTCTTCTGCGGTTTTGTGTGCAGATCACGATGACGAGCCGCGTGTATAGTTCCGCTTTGATAAAGCGGCATGGCCATGAAAATGGGGTCCGTGAAGGCGGGGTCAGGTGCTGATCCATGTGGCAAGGGCGACTGACGGCGGCAGCAGTCTTCCTAGTGTGTCGAGTGTGGGTAGGGATAGAGGAAAGGTGATTGCTGCACCCACCTTGCAGTGATTATGAAAAAGAAAACAAAAAGATTCCGGACGGGATATGGCTGCACCCGACAGCGCGCGGCCCCGTGCGGTCCTGTACGGTACGGGTACGGGCCTGTACAGAGGTTGGGGAGGTCCCGGACTGGACCCCGTACAGCGCACCGGACGCGTGCGGTGCACTGTGCGGTTGCAAGTATGGTGTGTTGACATCTATGCATGCGAAGTGATACACTCCAGCAAGCTGTGAACAGTCAGGTTCCTTGCATTTCAGACTGCAAATGATTGACCGATGAGAATTCCGAAAAAATAAAATACAGCAAATATTCGGAATTACTCAGGTGAGAGTACGTGCAGTTTGGAAAATGATAACTGCAAGAAGGATTTCCCGTACCGTTTTGAAAAAAACGAATTTCGGAAAAAAAAAAATTCTGAACGTCCAAGTAACGGGAAATTGCAACAGGAAATCGAAATTTTCGAAAAAACAGATATTCCGGATTTTCAACAATGAAATTTCGAATTTTCAGAAGAAAAATGAAAACGGAAATTTCAGATGTTGCGCTATTGCGATTTTCCACAACAGAAATAGCGAAAAAACAACGTCCAAGAAAAGAAAAAAAATTCTGAGTGGGGATCCGGGCCGCCCGGGTGACCGGCAGGGGCCCTGGGGGAGGTCCCGGGCGGCCTGGCCGGGCAGGGCACCCAGTTGAGGGCCGGGGCCCCCCAGCGCAGTCACCTGTAGGGGGATTTCGGACCCCCTTTGTGTGTGTGTGTGTGTGTGTGTGTGTGTGTGTGTGTGTGTGTGTGTGTGAGAGAGAGAGAGAGAGAGAGAGAGAGAGAGA